GGTAAAAATATTCAGTTAAGAATTTGAAATCTAAACAATTAGAAGTTGTATTTAATTTTTCGTTCATTGAAAAAAAGCAAATCTGATAAGGCAATCGGTTTTTGCTTCAAAGACGAATGTCCTTATCAGAAAACCCTTGTGAAATTTGTGGCACAAGAAAATTTCGAAAAATTCTATTACTTCAATTTTTAGGGTGATGATGTGGCAACTCGTTTCTTCGTCGATTGCCAATCAGCGCAAGAATTACTCGAGAGAATCCTCAGGCTTTCGATCACCGTTCTTTTGGTTTGAGTCTAATTGTAAGACATTCAAATCACTTTCTTTGATTCACTGTGACTCTTATGGTAAATACTTATCTACCGAAATATTCCAATGATGATTAGGGTGCATTAGTTGCTTTTTTTGCGCTAGAAGAATAAACTTAACCTATCAAAGCTTCATTGAGCTTTGCTAATTCATAGCTTTGATTGACTATCGAGGCCAAATCCAGATCTTGCAATCGTATAAAAAAGGCTAATTTGAAGTTTTCGAACAAGTCATAGCCTATCAGATATCAGCTTCAACGCAAGATATCTGGTAAACAAGTTCTCTAGTAAAATAAAGAAGCGACTGGCAAAGAATTTGGAGCTGAGGAGGGGATTGAACCTTTCTGCGTAACGGACAGATTCTTTATCACTGAGCTATCGACGCCTTCTTTGCCCAGGCAGAATTAAGAAAGACAAGGAAGAAGAAAGGAAGGGAAGACAACTATTCAGTGAGGATTTGATAAAGATTCGGATCTGGAGTTGGATTTGATAGTGTTTTGATTTGATAGTGATTTGATAGTGTTTTCTCTGAATCGAAAAGCTAATCAAGTACGCCAGAAATGAAGTGTTTCCATTGTTAGCCCAAAGCACACCTCTCATTATATTTTCAGCCTTAACTTATTTAAAATTCATTGAAGCCAACTTGCCAAAACCTCTGAAACTTTTGAAATCTTTATGTTTAGTTTAACAATATTGAGATCATTGGGGTTTTCGTGGTAATTTGCGTAAGAGTCTTGATTTTTAATGATTTTTGGTATTAAAGCACAATTCTATTAAAACAAATGCATGGTAGATATTTGATATTTGACAAAAATGGTAAAAATGTGCTTTGTAATTACTTTTATGGACTAGTCTGAGAAACTTCTATCTATTTTTTTCTAACTATGACAGTATTAAAACTCAAAAAATTGTAGAAATTACCGGTGTTATCCAATAATACAAATTTCACATGTCCATCGAAAAATGTGATTTTTCTATTGCCTTCCCATTTTTTCGTTTTTTTACCAATAGATTTCTCTCCCTTGCAAAGCTGTGATAAAATTCTCTTTCGAAATAAAACTTTGCCGTTTTCAAGAAAAATGATCGACTGTCTTAAACATTTACCTTTAAAACTAAATTTCTATTTATTAAAACGTTCTTCAGAATGAATTTTCTCAAAACCGTTTCCCAATTGGCATCAAGTAGCCCCCGAAGTGCAGCAAATCTTTCAAAATGCGGTTGGGAGAGTCGCGTCGACGCTGACGAGAAGGGAATCAAGAGATTTACAGGTATAAAATAATAAAAAAAGCTCAATTCCATCAACGATCTTGTATAACAATGCCAATCATAAATCAGGCTTGCTGGCAAGATCTTTGACGCGACTTTGTTGGTTTTGTCGGTATTATTACAAATAGCAAAAAGTGCACAGTGAATCAGATACAAAATGGTATGAAAGACTTTGATAATTAGATAAATCATTACCATTAATCAATAAATCTTGAAGCCACAATTAGACCTTTTTTTAGATCACCGCAATCAGCGACTCTGCACTGAAACAATTGGAGTTGAAGGACAACAATGGGACCACTTCGCTGTATAAGGTAAGATTCGGATATCTTATATGTTCAGAAAATTCCATTCAAAACTGATTTCAGGACAAATCAAACGTCTTCTACGTGATTTATCGCCCGACGAAAAAAGTGATCATCAAAAGTATGCCGGAGGCTGAGGGGAAAATCATCGCCAATCGACTAAATCTTCTCTTTGCTGGACTGTACGATGGTAATCATAAAGCATAATAAATTTACATCTAGTGAATATTTTAGAATCTTTAGAACCTTAAAACTTTTAATAGCAAAACTTTCAAATAACTCAACTTATCAAATCAACCCGCGAACAGCGAACCGTTTCATATTTTCCAGTCACTTTTTGACTTTAACTAATCTAATCTAGATCTAAATCTAGATTTGCAGATACTTTACATTCAGAACTTTTGAATCTAGATTTGCAGATACTTTACATTCAGAACTTTTGAATCACCCTGTATATTCGAAATCCTACTTTTCATTGCCTTGACTTTAAACTTAATATTCTTAAGCGATCTCAATGATTGTTTTTGCAGAACTTCAAAACAGTGCCAAATCTGTCTTTATATTCAATTTTAGACCCAATCCGACAATTGCCTGACAACGAGCTGGAGCGAATCGCTGTATTTACTCTCAAAAATCCGAGTTGGACTGAGGTGCTGGAAAGCTGTTTTACTTTAGAATCTGCCTAAATATAAAAAAGTAACCTTATATGCAATTTGTCTTTTTATGCTAATTGTAATCGAATTCAGATCCATTTGGCGGCGGCGCTCGGACTGACCCGAACGCTGAGCTTTCTCTTCGAAAGAGACGCTGTTGTGTAAGTTTTTGTCCAAAATGTTTTAAAATTCTATAGGGTAGCGCACAATTACCCGCACTCAGTTCAGATTCTCCAGCTTAGCGAAGAGTCAATCAATCGACCTAATTCTTTTTTTATTATCAAATTGAATATTTCTCCTGCAATGTGTTTTCTGGATTTGATCAGAAAAGTTTCTAAACTTTTGCTAGAGGCTGCAAAGTTGCGACACACGTTTCCTTCGGCGGAATAGCGATTTTTTTGGTTTTTGTAACTAGTTTCAATGACTCAAAATCAAAGAAAACCAGCTTCATTTACTTCTTTTTACTTATTAGTTTCAAAATCTAGCTCATTTTTACTGGAAAACAATGAATTTCGATTAGGGATCAAAGTTCAAAATGTGAATTTGAACTGAGTGCGGATAATTGTGCGCCACCCTGTATAATTTCTAAATCTAAATCAAGAATTATATAATTGAATGTATTCATGATACCTAGATCATTGTGCAAATCACGTTTTCAGGGTTGTGAACACGCCCACCGAGGACGGACTTTTACCGCTGCACATTGCTTGCGAGTACAATCAGGTGAGCCTAGATTAGGTTAAAAATTAGTTTGGATCAATTTGCATATTAATATAATGGTAAACTTAATCAATTATCTATTTCAGTATGAAGCGGCCATGTTGTGCACAAAAGCCGGCGCTCAAGCTTCAAAAATGAACGCTCGAGGGCAAACAGCGTACCATTTAGCGGCAAAAAAGTGGAGATATGAGATTAATGAAGGTGAGAATTTATATATCTATATTTAAATTAGATATAATCTTGATATCAAAATATATTTAGACTTGACTATAGTACAAGGAGTACCGTGTTAGGTACCTGAGAAAGGTCTTGAATCCTAGCTTTGACCAGATTTCTGGCTCCTAGATTTACTCGGATTCAAGTATAAGTGATTATTATATTAAATATACTTAGTAATATCTAAAAATTGAATAATGTCACATTTGTAGAAAAAACTGTAGAAATTAGCTTTGATCTCGGTCTGGCTATTGTAGAAAAACCGCTGCATATTCTGGCTTTGGTATCTTACCATATTTTTGTATCTTCTACCATAATCCATTTTCTATTCTGCATTAGCTTTAAGCGATAAGTATCTACCAGAAATAATAATCCAGATAATCTAGGCTCTTCTGTCCACCAATACAGCGCAAGCCATTCAACTTTGTGTCACCGCCGAAGACATGTCTGGTTTCACTCCACTCCAAGAGGCCATCTGCAATGAGAATCTGGAAGGATTACAGGTACAAATTTTAGTTTTACGTATGGTATTACAAAAAGATTGGTTTATAATTTAACGTTATATTCAGGTGATTCTCTTGGATGTAATCGCTTGTCGTGGCGCCAGAAACCAAGTGCTTCGTTGTCTTCAGCACTACGTCGTCAAAGATTACGATAAATGGAGAAAGTGAGTGAGCTGTTCAAAATGCAAGTTTTCCGGACCAGGTAAGGCAGAGCCAAGAGAGAAGTCATGTTTCCTTCTTTCTTTCTTTTCTTCTCCCCTCTTTTCTGTCTCTCTTTCTCTTGGGAAGTTGAAGTATCGGATAGCTCAGTGGCTAGAGCAATTGCCCGGAAGGCAAAAGGTCGAGAGTTCAATCCTCTCTTTGGAAATCTGCTTTTTCCTGCCAATTTCTTCATTTCCTGATCACAAAAAGCCTGTCAGAAGAGCTGGTTTAGCTCACCATCAGCTTAGGCCCGATTAGAACATTCTGGATAACTAGCCAGACTACTTAACGAGAGCCAGAGACTTTTGAAAGACCTGGATTTAACTTCTAGCTGGCTCTGGCCTGGTTATGAGCCTTAAGTCCAGGTTTAAATATCTTTTGATTGATATCAAGAGCTTGATAATCTAGTTATATAATTGGTTTCAGAATCGGGAGCCTCGTGTGCAGTCCACAACTCGATTGGTTGATCCAAATGGACCCGTCCGGGGACACGATTTTGCACAAACCACTTCCGGATCCCGATGTAAACGCTCAAAATTTACATAAGAATTTAAACTGGCAGTAGTTTTAAACTTTTTATAAGTATATCTATAAAGATTTTAGATTCTCCGTGTTCTGTGTCTATTCGCGGCCAGGAGCTGTTTCGAGCTGCCAAATGGGAGTGGACTGACCCCGTTGCAAGCAGGTATCTAAGGAATTATTAACTAAGTAACGAGTTAGTCATAATATATCTTACTACACATAAATGAATTTAATTTTAATAACGAATTTAGCCATCAATCGGGACGACTTGGCAGCTTGTGTGTGCTTTGTTTCGTTCGGGGCTGATGTGGGCAAAAAAACGGCTAGAGGCGAGACGTGTGCTCAATTGGCGTTACAAGTAAGCGATGCAGCAAAACACCCGGGTCTACTTGTCGGTTTTTTACCGATTTTTAAATGCAAACTTTGACGAAAAATGTAAAAATTGGCAAGTGCCCAATATTTATAGCTAAATTTATTCAGTTTTTAAAGTTTGCGCTTCAGAAAGCCCGCCCGATGATCTTGCAACTCTTGATCCTGCTCGGCGCTCAAATGGACCCCTCCGATTTACAATTTGCGCAAGAAAAACATAAGTAAAGTTTTGAAAAATTCAAAAAGAAATATAAATTTAAAGTCGGATCTGTTTTCTTGCCAAATTTAACCTTTTAGACCACAACTCCGAAAAATTTTCCAAACAGCGTTGGAGCCGAAGCTGCAAGAAGCGATGAGAGATCATCTGTTACCGGGTAAATTTTGAAGTCTAAAATATAGATTATCTAATTTATAACTAGACAAATGCACATTTAGATAATACAATCAAAATCCGAGACGCTTTAATGAGCAAACCGAAAACGAATCGAAAAATCGCGCTCTCGTTGGATGGAGGTGGTATTCGGGGACTAGTCGAAGCACAAGTGAGGAAATGTTTAAATTTTAGATTTTCCAACTGTTAGCTGAATACCTTTACATGTAAATTTCAATATCAAAGCTAAATTTGCGTATTATTAACTCGAATCAAATCTAGATGCTTTTCGAGCTCGAGCGATTGACAGGAAACTCGATCGTCTCGAATATTGAGTGGCTAGGAGGTAAAACAGTTTTCCAAATTCCAAAATTTTCTAAAAAACACTTATTTTAGAGAACTACCGTAGTCAAGCTGTCAGTTTTCATTCGACCAGCCCAACTTTTATATCACTAACTGAATCTTGTGATTCCTCAACAGATGATACTAAAATTGGGCGGATGGAATGAAAACTGAAAGTTAGAATACGGTAGTTTTCGAAAAATAGTGCTTTTTAGGAGACGTATTACAGAATAGTTTTCAAAATGTGCAAGTACCGGATCGATTTTGATTTAGGAACAAGCACTGGATCGATTTTGGCGATCGGGCTTGCGTTGGGGAGATCGCCCGCCGACTGCATCCGCCTTTATCTTCGTTTCAAAGATGAAGTGTTTAGGGTAACTCTAAGATTACATTCTAATACTTGAGTTGTTTATTAAGCTTTTTAATTTCCGTGCAAAACACTGTAAAGCAAAATTTCAGGGAATACGTCCATATTCTCCGAAAACTCTTGAGGCGTGCCTCATCGGCGAATTCGGCCCAGATCGCAAGTTTGGCGACGTGAAAAAGAGGTCAAATTTTTAAAGAGATTTATATATGTCAAAAAGAAACTAACGATATGGCTAAGTTATATATTATTGTTGTCAAGTTTTTGAAGAGTCCAAATTACAGACTACTGGTAACGGCTGCTCAAGTGGACGTAAGTCCAGCTGAAATCGTGCTCTTCCGAAGCTACGACCTTCCAAATGAGCCAGCGAAAAACTTTGCAGAACTCGGAAATGGCAGAGAGATCAAATTGTGGCAAGCGGCTAGATGCTCCAGGTAAGAAAAACAACGAAACACGGCTTTTATTAATCTGCCGGAAATGTACAATAATGTGCAAAAGTCTTTTAGCACTCAATTTTCTGAAAAGTTACATCGATTTTCTCTGATAAAGTTTATGGCGCTCTTTAAGCTATTAATAGTTTTATTTACACAAACGCTGTTGCTATACGAAACTTATTCATCGAGAAAAAAATATAATTGTCAAAACACCTCTGAAAATCGTGGTGCAAAAGTCTTTTAACACAAGACACGAAATTAAGCTATAATCAATATTTTGTTGGCCCTCCTTTTGCCAAAAGTACTTCTTTAACACGAGCAGGCATCGATCTAGTTAATTCATCAAGAATTCCAGGTCCAATCGTCCTCCAAATTTTTCTGATGTAAAACCATAGCTCGACTTTAGAATTGAAACGTTTTCCTCGCAATTTCGATTTCAAATAGGCCCATAAATTCTCGATAACATTTAAATCCGGTGAGAATGGTGGAGCTTTGATCAAAGAAACCTGATTGATCCCAAAGCATCTCAATATATTGGCGGAAATCCATTGTTGACTTTACGTGGACAAGCGGACCCGTTGAACTTTTACAGATCGCTAGGATTGTTGATGGCCGGTGATTAAAAAAAGCTCATTACTAGTTGATTAGATTGGATTGATCGATGAGTGTTTAGTAGACACGGCAAAGTTTGGGCAACTCGATGCGATCGGTGAGAGACATTGGAAGGGAACGGATCTGGAAAATGATAAATAGAAAATTATCGTTACCGAAACGCATAATTGAACCTCCGCCTGTTTTCACCGTAGGTTGCAGGTAGTTGAGTTGATCGCTTTCCGACTGGACGTCGGATCAGGTGATTTCGATTTGAACGAAAAATATCAACTTTTGTTTCATCAACCAAAATCACTCGGGCCCAATCATTGATTGTCCAATTTGAATAGGTTCGAGCAAATTGAAGGCGTTGCCTCCTGTGTTTGGCTGTCATTATAGGCTTGCGAGCAGGTCTTCTAGTATGCAATGCTACTTGAAGCAAGCGTCGATGCAAGGTCCAGCGGGAAATATTCTTGAAAAGAATGGCTCCATCGTTCAACGTCAAATTCGGATCCTTCTTGAAAACTCCCGTAAGGAATCGGTTTTCATTCTTTGTTGTAATCCTCGGCCGTCCCTTTTTCTTACATCTGTGCACATTTCCAGACGCATTCATTTTTGCCATAACAAGAGAAACTGTTCTGGGCGTACATCAAGGCATAAGAGGCGAGCGACGTCTTGTCGTGACATCCCTTGTTTCCTTGCCTTGACGATCATTTCTTTATCCGGAGTTGACAAATACACCCCTGTAGTCTAAAAAAATAAATTAGTACCAATAAACAAGAAGCGAACGAATCAAAAATTTTTTCAAGCGTTAAAGACTTTTGCACCACGATTTTCAGAAGTGTTTTGACAATTATATTTTTTCTCGATGAATAAGTTTTGTATAGCGACAGCGTTTGTGTAAATAAATTGTACATATATTTGTGTAACTAAAACTATTAATAGCTTAAAGAGCGCCATGAATTTTATCAGAGAAAATCGATGTAAGTTTTTAGAAAATTGAGTGCTAAAAGACTTTTGCACATGACTGTCCTTATGAAGAAAAACGCATCCTTTAATTCTTCATTTTTATTGTAGCTAGATAATGAAAATGGAATCTGCGTGTTCTTAGAAATCTTATAAGCTGAACAAAATCTTGTGTTTTTAAAAGCCAAAACTGTAAAATTGAAATTTTCAAGACATTTTTTTTATTTCAGTGCGGCTCCCACCTATTTCACAGCCCCATTCGGCGTTTACATGGACGGGGGCCTGATTGCAAATAATCCGTCAGCCGAAATTCTCTCCGATATTCAAATGATGGAAACATTGGGAGTCAATGAGGTTAACAATTATTTACTAGCTATAAGAAAATATTATATTTCAGGAAAAACCATCACTTTTCTTATCACTTGGTACCGGGATCCCACCTTTACGTCGAATGAATGAAAATCAGCCAAATGGGGGAATTTGGCAGAGGCTGAATCAATTCAATCTTAATTTAATGCATACATTACACATGTTGACTGAACAAGTGAGTGAGGAAAATTGGGGGAAATTGAGTTTTCTAAAAAAATGGATAAAAGCTACTGTAATCTTTCGTTGAGATTTGATCGGTTTTCTCTAATCTAAAGAGCGATTTGAAATTTGAAAAGCCACCGTAATCTTTCTAAAATAAACACGCGCCAGAAATTGTTTGAATGATTTTTGAATGAGCACAAAGTGCACCCCAAAAAAGACGTTTTATAATAAAACAAAACTTTCTAGTAGACTTGCTTATCGGGAAATTAACGGGAAACGGTCAAATCGGGAAATCGGGAATTAACAGGAAATGAGAGTTTTGATAGGCTAAATAACTTACACTAAATAACTAAATAACTAAACAACTTACATTTGCGTTGAGATTTCCCGATAATTCCCAATAAGCTCTTAACGAGATTTCCACTTAACAAGCTTCCTTTCCAGATCTCAGCCGCTAACGGTGTAATCGTGAGTCGATCAGCCGGTTTCTCACTCGCTTTGGGCATCCCATTCTTCCGTTTTTCTCCTCCTCTCCCATCGGATATTCAATTGGATGCAAGAGATGATGAAATTCTGATTGAAATGCTCTGGATTGCGAGGGTTTGTTTACATCTGACATTGGATTTGAAATTCGAATCATTCCAATACAACAACAATTACAATAAGTCCTTCAAGTCCTGGTTTAGTCTGTATTCTATAATTGCCATGTTTTCTAAAAGGTGTACCTTAGAGAAAATGATCGTAGGTTTTCATTAAATATTCATTTTATTCACTTTTCAGAACTACATCTACACCCATCCGGACATCAAAAAGCTTTGCGAGTACCTGAAGCAATAGTCAAGCCAATTTTTTTTGATTTCTAGTCGCCAAATTGCCAACTACCTGTGATTTTTAGATGATTTATTTATTGCATCAATTTTGAGAACAATATCCAATTTGCAAACGACCGAGACTTGTGTTAGAACTAGAACTTTTTGATACAATTTTAAACCATTTTAAGCTTGTCTTTTCCTTTCAAAGTTTGGACTTAAAGCTTTAACTTCTAAATTTAAAATTCTTAGTTCTTATCGGCAAAGTAAACAACATTCACCTACTTTGTTTTCTTTTTGTAAACAATCCATTCTCAATTCTTTACTTTTGTTTCTCTTCCCCTTTCTTTCGCTTTTTCATTTCTAGTGTTCTCCATTCAAAAAACAAATTGCTGATCAAAATTTATTGCATTCGCACCGAATGGGTGCTCAAACTAGGATTGTTGATGGCCGGTGATTAAAAAAAGCTCATTACTAGTTGATTAGATTGGATTGATCGATGAGTGTTTAGTAGACACGGCAAAGTTTGGGCAACTCGATGCGATCGGTGAGAGACATTGGAAGGGAACGGATCTGGAAAATGAAGCAATTCAAGGGGATTGGATATTTGATAGGCAATAGAAATTGGAGTACTGAAGTGTCTATTGGAATTGTAATGCTCAAGCAGTTAAGCTCTTCAATCTACAACTTACAGACTGTGTCATGATCCTCAACTATTTGACCACTCTGACTCGATCTAAGGTAGGCTAGCAAACTAACGTAGTAAGTCTCTGCAATCTTCAGCCCAATCTCCCCATTTGTCTATCCTTTCCTCCCTTTCTATTCTTTTATTTTTGTCCTTCACACTCACCTCCTCCATGATCGACTCCTCTCCACGCTTAAGGCCGTTCACCATGCGGCGAGTGCGGCGATCCGAGCGTGGAAGGCAAGCCAATTTCACCTTGCGGTTCTCGGTCTCAATGAGCTCATCTCCTGGCTGGCATTTGGGTTGTTCCTCCATCGAGAAGCAAGTCTTTCCCTCACGCTCAACCATCACGATCTCGTTTTCGGGCTCTGGAAATAGAATGGATGAGATGGAACAAGTGAGACTCAGACTAGTAGTTCAATGTCTAACCATCACAGTTCTTCTTAGAGCTATGCCCAATCCCCTCCGCTCAACCAACCGTAGGTGTTCTCCTCCTCGTCGCGGATGTTCTTGCGGCTGATGTGCTTCTTGAGGTTCTTCTTGAGCATTTTGCGTGATCGCTTCTCTCCCATGTTCTCCTCCTCGAAATCTTCACGGGGGTTCCAGAAAGATTCCTCGGAATCGTAGCGTTCCTCCTCATCAGACTCAACTCCGTAGTTCTTCTTCTCCTTCAATTTCGACTCCTCGACCTCGCATTCGTTGTCACGGCGAAGCCACGAGCGGTGGAATTCCTCGATGTCCTCTGAAAAGGAAAAATGGTTGATCAGAGAAGCGATTTGAGAATTCCAATAATGAATGAGTGACTAATCTAGGTATTGCAAGTGAATCTAGGCTCTGGAATACACCTCTTCAGGAGCAACCAGCTTCTATCTAACATCTAAAACCCATTCAGCCCAATCTCAGCTCAATTTCAATTCCTATCCAATTTCTTTTCCACCCACCAGTCTCCTCGTTGTCGGCACGGCGGAACTCGTTGTCGCGGCGTCCATCGAAATGTCCGCAAAGTCCGCATTGGGTGTTCTCGGTGCGCTTGTCAGCCTTGGATCTCGACCTTGTATCCATCGAAACGGATGGTCATCTTTGGGATGGTGATCTCGCATGATGATTCTCCTAAAAGACCCACTCATCTTTCAATTTCAATTCAAAACCAACCGATAAGCTTGATTCCCATATCGTAGAGAGCCTCCTCGTCCTCGACACGGCGTCCATCAACCTGGCAAACGATCTTCTCTTGTTTCAACTCGCACTCGATTTCCTTCTCTTGAGTCACAATCTTGATCTTCTTCTCCTCAGAGTCCTTCTCCATTTTCTTCATCATCACAGCGTACTCGGGCTCTTGAGAGCAATCCTTAGCAAGCACTGAATAGCAAGTGGTCAATGGGGTCTTGTAGAGAAGTCCATCGAAGGTCGACACCTTGTTTGAGGAAACCTCGCACTCGGAAGTTGGCATGAAGACCGAGGTCCACGAGTTCTTGTTGTTCAATCCCTTGAGGGAGACACGGCGAGATCCGAGAGACATCAATGGGATACGGATTGGGGAATAGGCCTCCTTGACGATGAGTTTCTCTCCATTGCACTCAACGGTGAAGTTGACGCGACGGCACTCCTCGGGCTCGACGACGGCCTCGATCTTGAAGCGGCGAGAGTCGGAGCTGATCGATTCGACTTGTCCGTACATGTAGAACTCGGACTTCAAGAGGTCGAAGAGACGACGGAAGACCAATTCGTTGTCCTTGGAGAGGTCCTTGTCGACGAGGACGACGTACTTGTTGAGCTTGGAAGCCTCACGGAGCATGTCGTATTTCTCGAGTCCCTTGTTGCTCTCGTAGTCGATCTCCTTGACGAAACGGGCCATCTCTTGGGATTGAGTCTTCTGGAGACGGATGGTCATCTCGTTCTTCTCCTCAGATCCCCAACGGCACTTGAGGGTTCCCTCGACTTCTTTGTGGCGCATCTCCTTCAACTCCTTGATGGTCTTGGGGGATTCGGGGAGGACGACCTCTCCGTTCATTTGGAGTTCCCAGTCGCGGCGCTCCTTCTCGAGAAGTGGCGAGCGTTTGCATTGAAGATCGAAGCGGCACACCTTGATCTCCTCATCGCACGATCCTTTCACGGACATCTCTCCCTTGATGGTCTTTGGTCCTCCGACGGTGTAAAGACGGAAGTTGACGCGTCCCTCGTGTCCCTTCAACGATTTCATCGACTCGTAGTGCTTCTTGGAGTGGGTGCGGCGAGAGACACGCTCATCAGCACGCTCCTCAGACTCGTCAGAGGTCTCCAAACCGAACTCCTTCTCAGTGAAGGTCTCATCGTAGCGGGGTGACTCGTACTCGGATGAGGCCATCTTGGTGTACTTGGGCTCAACCTCGAGGACGATCTCCTTCACGGACTCGGCGGTGGGGGACAAGGACAACCTGGAAATTCGAGTTTTGGATCTGGAGCTGGGTTTGGTTCAAGTGGTATGTACTACTATTCTGAGCTTTTCACTTCGATGTACTATTTCCAAATCTTTACCTGGACGTGGTTCTCTCCGAAGAGGATCGACTCGGGGGACTTCTTGTCGAAGACGTGGCGGTGGACGGATCCGATGACCTCAGTGCGGAGACCGAAGTGCTCCTCTCCGTAGGATTGCTCGTAGTGGACGGAGGTCTTCTCGAATGATGGAATACGGATGGTCTTCTCCTCAAGAACTGGCACTTGCTTGTTGTTGAATGAGCGGACGAAAGTGGTTGGGCGAGACTCGACGAGGAGAACACGTTTCTCCTCCTTGGGAAGACGGAGGACAGCCTTGAGTTGTTGTTTCTCATCGTTGTACTCGACTTGTCCGTGGATTGGAAGAGTTGATTGGATCGAGTGGAAGACACGAGATCCGATGTGCATCTCGGGGGAGAAGACGGTCATTTCGGTGACATGGGTGGAGACGAATGAGGGCTCCATCTCGACACGGAGAGACATCTTCGGGGAGATCTCGGCCTTGATGTGGGCCTTGATGTGGGCGACGGTTGGGAGCTTGGAGGTGACCTGGAAATTTTAGGGATAGATGGGTTCAGATTAGATGTTGGTTATTGATGTCTAGAGATAAATTCGGCCAATAGGCGAAAGAATATAAGGCAGTTCTTGGATATTATCGATCAGCAATCAACTATTTTAACGGTAACTGGCTATTAGGGCTAAGAAGACCGTATCTAGAGACCTTAAAAGATCACTGTACCTGGAGTGGGAGTCCAAGGGTGGTTGGGACGATGCGGACGTGCTCGTAGACGTATCCAGAGAGAACTCCCTCGAAACGGAATCCCTTGGCGATCTTGCGGATCATCTCGGATGAAGAGATCGACGAATCAGAGCGGACAATCTTCTCCATGAGTTCCTCCTCAACGGGAAGGACAGCATAGTCCAAGTTCTTGTAGCGGATGTAGAGCATACCGAAGGCATCCTCTCCATTCTCGTTTTGGCGGGATTGGATCTTCATCTGACGAACGATTTCCTTGAGGGCTTCACGGAGTGGGGCCTTCGATGAAGAGCGTTGTCCGCGGAGAACGATCTCGGTCTCGGTTTTCTCGAGTTTCTTGAGGAGTGGGATGAGCACTTGATCGAGATTGTTTTGGAAGAGTCCAACTTGAACGAGGTGTTTGTTCCATTGTCCGGCGAAGACAGAGTCGACCGAGGCGAGAAGTTCGTGTGGGAGAACGGACTCGTTGGAGAAGACTGAGGCAACATCCATGGTCATTCCGAAGTCGAAGAGACGGGAGTACCATGGGAGATGGACATGGGTGGAGGTGGAGAGTGGAGAAGAGCGGAGCATGCGAAGAGAGACATTGATGTCCTCGGCGAGCTTGGCCTCACATGGGTTCTTCTTGGACTCGGAGAACGAGCGGAGAAGAGAGACTCCGAAAGAGCGGAGTTGGGTGGATGGCTCGATGTTGAGTTGGTGAACGATTTGATCGAGAAGGGAACGCTCGGGGCGGGAGTGGACAAGTTGGTAGAGGGCCGCGATGCGGAGTGGGACTGGCTCGCGGAGGGACTTGAAGAGGGGGAAGGCACACCGATTGCACCTTGCGGGGCATCTGGTCGCGGAGCTGGAATTTGTGTGTAAGTACAATCTTTTGGATGTTGATTTGACAAGTGTTTTGGCTTAATAGTTCAAGATCAGATTATTAGAATTGAGCTAGAGTTTGGGCTGTCAACGAGAATGAGAAGCTAGTTTTTAAGGCGACTAATTGCTTCTTAGAGTAGATCTTTTTAAAAGTTAGTTCTTCTAACTGTCAAACCCACCATGCGAAGAGCGTCAACGGCGGATTGGCGGACAACGAGTGGTTGACGGCGATCATAGATGACCTTCTCAAGGAAATGAATGGAGACATCAAGGGCAGAGTTGGCAACAGCCTTGAGGACGAGGACCTTCTCGTAACGGGAAGTGGCCGATTCGAAGAGGGTTTCCCACTCCTTCAACCATTCAGTCTTGAGCTCACGACGGCATTCCTTCTCTCCTTCGATCTCGATGGCCCACGATTCCTTGGTGACCTCCTTCTTTGAGCAGACACCGTTCATCAAAGCTCCGGTGGTGAGGAGGACGGATTGGCGGAGAATTGGCTCCTCACGGCAAACCTTGGACTTGACCAAACGCAAGAGTGAGTTGACAATGTTCTCGGATGGAACACGGGTGTTCACGAGTCCCTTGATGACGATAGCGGCACGGATTGGGGAGATTTGCTTCTTCTCGCATTTCTCAACAAAGTGCTCAATGGTGACCTTGGTTCCGGCAGCAATGAGAGCATCGGTGAGGAACTCGCGAACCTTCTCGATCTGCTCAGCATAGACTTCGGTTTCCCAGAAGTGGCGGTGGATCTCTTGCACCTCACGCTCAGTGCACATGCGGTAGACCTCGACGATGCGGGCAAAGTTGTGGTTTGTCTCAAGGGTGACTCCGTCTTTCTCGGACTCCTCCATCGAGGCAAGGGTGAGGCGGATGTACTTGTCCATGAGCTCCTTCTTGGGGACTCCGGCGAATCCGGTGAGTGTGTAGGATTCTTCGTCTCCGTTCATCCAGAACTTCTCACGGGCCAACTCCATCTCGTAGTTGTAAAGAAGGGAAGACTTCTTTCCGTTGCGGGGCTCCTCAACACGCTCAGCCGACTTGATGTTGACAAGGCGCATCTTTTGGTGGACGTAGGTGGCGAGCATCTCTTGATCCTTCGAGAAGGGGGTGAAGACGTACCTGGAAATGAAATGGTTGGATGGTGGATGATGAATGTTGGAAACCCTAGATTAGATCAATCCCAAACACTCACTCGGACTTGAGCTCGACCTCGGTGATAAGGAAACGCTCCTCATCCTCTCCGCGAACCTTGTAGTTGATGACAGTTTGAGATTCGGGGCGAGCATCGGTGGCCTCACACATGGAGCACTCTGGAAAAGGAGTATTGAATATGGAGATGATTGGTGGATATCCATTTCTTGATTAACACAAACCAGCAGAGTAACGGGGTCCATAGCGGATATCGATACGCTTGGGGCATTTCTCGAAGTTGAGCGACTTGGTGATCTCTTTCTCCTCGCGGTTCTTCTCCGATTCGACGATCGTGTAGGCGACCTCGCACTCACCCTCGAGGGTGCGCTGGAAAGGGAGAACTTGGGTTTGAGGGCTAGTTTAAGAATGTTTTCGATCAGGCTCTAGGTAGTTAATTAGTAGATTTGCAGGATTTGAAAAGAGTAGATTTCTCAAGTGAAAAGACTGGATTTGATCGGAACTTTCTATCAAATCACTCTATCAATCTCAATTTCATCATCCAAATCTACCTCGGTGACGGTGAAGAACTTGTTGTTGGAGACGGTCTTCGTGTTGTACTCCTCTTGGGTCTTGCGTGGGCTCATTTGAACTTGGAGCATGTTGAGAATGGAGCGCTTGATGTTCTCCGACCAGGCGGATTCCTCCTCCGAGAAGACGATCTGAAGAAGGGAATGATTGGAATGGAAAGGATTAGGACTCGAATCTTTTAGCCAAATCTCACCTCAGAGATGATTCCTTGGTGGTAACGGAAGCGGATTGGAAGCTTGATTTGCTCGCGTTGCTCGGAGGTCAATTGCGACTCCTCGAGCGACACCTGGAAATGGCGACCATCGTTGGGAAAGATACTCAGTTATTGAGATCAATTGTAGATCTCTGATCTATTTCCCAAACATCTCTTTCTTTCCCATTTCCCCACCTCAGAGATGATGCGTGGCTCGGTGAGCTGCTTGTGGCCATTGGTAAGCTTGACATTGTCGAGACGGAGGATCGAGTGTTTCTCGTTGACAGTGATCAAGACTTTTGAGTGGATTTGTTGAAGGGAATGAGACGAGGATCCTTTCACGGGCACGCCCGAGACGATCTGAAAATTGGGATGGAAATGAATGTTGATGAGGAAATCGAGTCATTTGGGAGGTTCTCAAAGAAGCGGCTCAAAGACTGTTCAAAAACTTTTAGAGTGTCGATTACAGTACTTCGATGCATACAGTACCCTATTCTAGGTCCTCTTCCAATCCCATCCATCAACTTGTCTTTTCTCTCTAGGTACCCAATGCAGTAGCCCTTCTTATATCCTATTTGAGTGGATCCCTATCGACTAAACTGTCCTTTCCCTTACCATACTCCCCCGATCCTACCTCTTTCCTACAGTATTCTCTCAAATACGAACCTGTCCCTTCCACTCGAACTCGTAGGTGTTTCCCTTGTTGAACGACCGTTCTTCCCATTGACGGGAGGACGCAGCGAGGGCGATGGCCAAAAGGCCGAATGCAGCCAGCAGTTTCATCTCTCTGAGGAAGAGACAAAGGGCTCTGACCGAACTGGTACCGAACCACTCGATTCAACCGACATTTATACTCGTTTTCAAATCAAATCTTGACACATGCCCATCTTTCTTATCATTTCTTGATCCCCAATTTCCATCCGCAAATTTTCGGCAATTCGATGCTGGGTATTTTGAGTGACAGGCGTTTTAAAAGGGCAATTCGGGGTGGTGAGGGAAGTTCTTTTCGAAATTTTCAAGAGATTTTTGATCCGGTAAGTTTTTGAAGTAAGAATTTTGAGAAACTGATTTATTTTTGATTTGTTAGAGAGATTTTCAAAGTCAGCCGATTATGATGATGGGAAAACTTGGTTATCATAATTTTGAGCTAAAATGTTTTCAAATCCATTACTGCGCTCGTTTAGCTTTTTGAAATGGAAACAAATTTTGAATGTGGTTATTTTTGGGTAATTTGAAGAATTCTCTGATCTAGAACACCAATTTTGTTA